CATTATTGGTACTCGGGCCCATAATACCCAGGACTTCTGTCTAGTATTAATATCACCAACCAAAACACTAGCAGGGAGAAATGATGCACTGTCTGAGGAAGTTTAAAGAATAGGCCCCCAGTCTCACAGGTATTACACGAAATATGATCATAAATCTACCGGAAAACATCTTAAAAACATCATTGAACATCCATAACGCATGCTTAATAACCGGTTACTTTCCAGACAAACTAAAATATGCTAAAATTATATTTATTCCGGAGGAGGGTAAGGACAATAAGGAAATATTAAACTACTGGCCAATATTTTTATTAGAAATTACAGGGAAAATACTGGATTTTTTTTAAATTCGAGATTTATAATCTTTTTAACAACAGGGAAAAACAAACAATAGACAACATGGATTTATGCCCAATAGAAATACCCTAACTGCAATAGCTACAATAACGGAAATAATGGCAATAGAAAAAAGCAAGAGGAACCAGATCAATATAATTTTATGGGACGTTTCTAAGGCTTTTGATAAAGTTTGGCATTTAGGCTTAAAATATAAAATATTAAAATATAACTCTCAGATTAATTTATAACAAAATATTCAGACCACATCAATAATGAACAGCTACACAAGAATACAGTTGGTTTAAATCAGCCAGAAAGAAAGTAAGTGAACCACCTCCTGCCCCAATATACACATAAAATATTAATAGAGAGAATGAAAGATGAGTGACCTACCAGCTCCACTAAGAACCTGGCAGGCCTCTCCATACAGTGTACCTTTAGACTAACACAATTAACATTTAACTAACACCTTAGCAAAAAAAAAAAGTGACTACCCTCCCAGCCACACAAGGACCTGGGAGGGCTCACTAACTCGATCACAGTAAAAAATATATACAAAAATTTGTAAAAAGTATACTAAGCAGCACTATATAAATAAACCAATACTATTACAAAGGTCTGACGACCCAAGGGAACAAAACAAAAATAAAAGACAATAGAAAAGATGAAGCGATCTGGTTGAGCCCAGATTCTTTCTACTCCTACTGTATTTCAGTTTCACGACTTTTTCTTCAACCCCTAATAATCTTCTTTTACCTCATAACTCCAAACCCAAGCCAACCACTAGCATCATTAAATAGGCACTCAGGCGTGTCATCTATGTCCAAACTTTGAGGATGTACGTACATAGATGTTAACAACACATATAGACCTCCCTTGGACGTAGATTTTAACACAAACTTTCAACCCCATTCTGCTTGTTAGCTATTACCAATTCAATCGGTACATTTTTCCGAACATAAATTAACAGACCTCTTGTATTCTTTATATTATTAGCTGGTAAACAGAAACATTGATAATCACGTAAATTCATCAAATTACCATCCTCTGTGCCCGTCTCTTGTAAGGCTATAACATCCACCTTATACAACAGTACATAAGCATGCACATCTGTGGTCCTAGGACTTAAGCTATTTACATTCCATGAAAGTATAAACTAGGTGTGCTCCATTTTCCCCATTAACAGCAGAAACTAACCTTATTCTCTCACTCACAAACTGTTCCATTACTTCTTTCACTCGAGCTTATACCTTATCATGCAATACTTCGGGTTTGTTTCCCCCACTTGCGGGTTATCTCTTCCATTATGTCCACATTTCCGGTCCCCCATAGCAAAGATGGTTTGTCAGATTTTATTACTGTATTATTTTCAACCTTCTTTCCTTTTAGTTCAACATCCACATTTCTATGTTCCAAAAATGGGCAATTACCTTCTGGTTGTCCTTTACCTTTTTTCTAATCATCTGAATTTTTTGCCTGAGTTGAACTACTACACCATACACATCACCAAACTTGTCAATTACCTTGTCTTCTGGAACAACTTTTGGTGCAGCTCCTGCACCATTTCCTGTTACCTTCAACATGTCACTCTGTTCCATCCTATTCTTCCACACGTTCTCAGTTGAAGGTAGAGTTGTCTCACCTGCAACTCCTCGTCCTCCTTCCTTTTCTAGCTGTTGCACTTTTCCCGTGGTCTGCCACCGTGCACCATGCATCTGTGGTTTCTTATTGCAAATTGAGGAGCCTGCATTATGCACGCCGCCACAATTGCAACAACACGGCACAATGTGTTGCCCAGACTTAAATTTGATTTCCACATTCCACTGAATTATGATTTTTTTTTTGTATAATTTTACTTTCGAACATAGCGCGCCTCAAAGTTATAAACTACTGAAACGTTTAGATCTCCCTATTCTGAGCATTTTGAACCCCGTATATACCTGGCGGAAATGGATAATAGCGACAAATGAATTTAATTGATTTTACGCACTTTTCAGTCTTCGTCTATGTGAGGAGATGTTATCGTTGTGAAAGCGAGCGTGTTTACATCACGCATATGTGACGTTTTCCAGTCGTGACCAATGGTGTATCGATCTCATCACGCGATTTTTTTCGATCATTCAAAATTGAATTTTTTCAAAGGGAGGAGCCAAGGTACTGATTTGAAGGATTTCAATTTCAATGACCAGACTACCAGTGTGACAATAGCTGTGGTAGAAGTTGGATATGAATCGTGCTCCTACGATTATTTTAAGTTATTGCGGCGTTTTACGAGAAAGACGATCAAGCTATCCAATTCCTACGTAATCACGGTGTTCTCCCTACGTCTGTTGAGTGCCCGCACTGTAAATTGCCTTGTAAAATTAGAACGAACAAGCATCAGAGGTTGACGCTGAACCTATTCCTGGTCCTTCCACTTTTAACTAAGGTATTGTACTTTCGGACATGGCTCACCCCAAAGTTTAAAACTACTGAAACTTTTAGATATCATTATTTTGAGTCTTTTGAATCCCATTTATATTAGTTGGAAATGAATAGGATAAGTTAGGCTAGTTTGAGCTAAGCCTACCTGGAGTCCGGGAACAGAGCCCCCTGCTAGGGGTTAGATTAGGTTTGGTTAGGTTAGACGACTCGTTTTCGTGTTCTCCCCCATCCCAAAACCCCAATTTCGCAGGCTTTCCCCGATTAGCGATGGCGGGGGATAAAACCGAGCAATTCCCTCCAAAAATGAAGGTCAGATTCGTTTAAAACACACCAAAATACACTGGAAAAATATATTGATCAACCCCTAGGGACTCGTGTCCTAGAGTAAAAATTTACCGATTTTTTCCACAGTAACGATATTAGGGGCGCTGGTGGTAAAGCGGTACCACTCTTGCCTCGCAAGCAAGATGTCACGGGTTCGATTCCAAGGCAGGCGGAAGTTGTTTGGACACTCTTCCTAGTCCCCTTGGTCACTGTTCACCTAGCAGCAAAGTAGATACCTGCTGTAAATCGAAAGTTGCGTATTCGTATTCAAGGATAGTTGTTGGAGCTTCCAATAACTTGCTTAGACAAACCATTGACTCTTCAGGTTTCTACGCCCTTAACTCATGAGACATAAGGCAAACATGAACTTAGCATGCTTCCCTGTTGGGCTCTGTAAACGCTTCTGCACTTCACCTTACACAAGGATGTAGGAGGGGGGGGGGGAGAGGTTGCCATATGGCCCCACCTGCTGCACTTGTAACACAGAACAGGTTGTTCAATGAACTTTGAAATTCTCCTATATCCTATTCCAGAAATTAATATTTCTTCCGAAACGTCTCCCTTCATCAAGGCTACCACTTGGTTGTTCTTCTCACCTCGGATTTCGTGCGCTTTGCCCATACGAATCGTGTATCGTCAAGTCGAAAATCAAGATTCACTATAACCGGGTGCATGAAGACGATCACCTTGTTGAGTTGTTCTGTGTCCTGAGGCAACGTAATAATCACCTCCTTAAACCCTGTCGTCGTCAAAACCTTTACAGCCTCATCCCCAGCTATAGTCAGATATGAATTATTCCGACCTTCTTAAGCAGGGGTTCAAATTTTTTATGCACCCTTCCCAGTGTAGCAGCCCACAGCAACCGCTCATAGAATGACATCCTTAAATCACTTGGAAAGTTCAACCTCCTCCTACCTGAGCGGTTTCCAGCACCCGGGTTGCTCGGCACATTGGTACTTTCACGATGATCCGTTCGACTAACCTGCTGTGTCTTATTACCAGTTGAATTCTTTCTGCTTTCTTCTGTGTGTGCCGTCCTCTTCTTCCTATCATTCATGCTCTCATCTCTATCACTTCCTTCACTTTTCTTCGCCAACTCTCGTCTCCTCTTCTATTCTTGAGTACTAATCACCTCTTGAAAACAGTCTGTCACCTTCATTGTTGTTGGCCGCGGATCATCTGCATACGAATCGCTATTTGAAAGCCGCAGTTCGTCTTCTAAGCTGTCCAGTAGTGCAATCTGTTCTTCTCTAACCAAAGCCTTCACAAGTTTCTCCCCACCACTTGCCACAGGCATGGTGCAAAGCTTAGGCAGCCAGTGAAAATCAGCAGTGTTGTCGCAGAATACAAGGATGACACGTCCGACCAGTACGGCCATCGTTCAGAGAATGTCGCAGAATACAGAGAGCTTGCTCTCGAACTACTCGTTCGGTTCGCTCATGCGTTGTCCGCTCGTTTGGTTCGTTCGGGCTAAAATGCTCAAGTGAAGACGCACCCTTACAAGACCGCAAAGGCCCCGTCATCACTGTCAAACTTGAATTGGCTTATAAGCTTCTAACAACAACTGTCGATCTTTGTACTCTTACTCAAAATTACAAATCCCTTATCATTACTTTTCGATCATCCTTTATTCATTCTCTTCCAGGAACCCGTGCCCATTACAAAATTGTTTTGTGAATGATTAGCCTTGATAATAACGCGAGATAATATATTTATGGCGACGAGAGCAGATCAGTCTACCATTACTTAACATTCTTCAGGCTAGAAAGTAACAACAGGAACATTACTGAATGGATGAGTTGCCATCAAAAGAACAAGTTTCACTTGAAACTCAAGTATTAATTCAACTCTTTCAAAAATCAAAATACGTTTGTGACCATAACTGCACGTGTAATGTATGTATTGTGTTGCAGATCAGTTGTTGTCGCAACACTTGAGCCAGAACATGATTTGGCTGGGCATGAAGAACGACATCGACGGTAACAGATGGCTGGATGGTACACCTGTTGCTTATTACAACTGGGAAGACGGTGAACCCAATGGATATTACACCGAGGATTGTGTGAGTAAGTGATATGCGAAACTCTATACAAATTTATAACCAAATTTGTATGTTCATACACAAACAATCTGTCATTTACACAAAATATGTGCCTATTTACAGTGAAGAAAAATACCCCCTAATAAATTTAAATAGTGCTCTGTAGTGTTGAAGAGGGATATGGGTAGTATTTGACAGATTTCTGTAAGTTGGCTTTAATGCTAAGCTTTTTTTTAAAAAAAAGAAGTTTTTATGTTAAGCTATGTTGAGGCTGAGATTTCTGTATTAAGTTTTATGAAGGTATAAAGGAGGTAAATGAAACTGAGAAATTTAATTAGTATTCAGTTACAAAGGCTATAATTAAAAAGCAGAAAACGGGAAAGAAGCGCCAAAAGTATGAAGTCAAGGATGGGTAATGGAAATAAAAGAGGACAAAGGGTAGTTGACTTTCGTTATAATAAATTTATTGTTTCAACATCACCTAAACCATCTATTATACAGTAGATATCACCCCAGGTTAATGAAAAGTTTGGAGTCAAAGCAGATTACATATTACTTTTATCATGTCCCAGTATTGAGGTTAGTAAGGCTAAAACTAAAGTTTACGAAAAAGAAAACCATTTGGTAACATGAGATAGGATTTAGGGAAGCTGAAAAGAGAGGCTGGGATAAAATCTGAAATTGAAACTCATATACGGGTATCTATATTATTGTTGGATGAGGGAAATATAATGATACACCTGGAGAGTTGGAAATGAACTATGAGCAGTTCAAGCACTGAACTCAAACTGGTCAATGCTACTACTCAAACTGGCAGGTTAAAATGACCGCATTAATTCAGGTCAGGTCATATCACCAAAATTAGAATGTTAAAAAAAATAACTTTAAATGGTACGATGATTGCTAAGATTCTCAGGCAATAGGGGGTAATTGTGCTCCTACAAGAAAAGAACAGAAAATACCCAAATCTTGAAATAGATAAAAATGGCGTCACATAATGAAAGTACACTTAAAGAGGGAAATATAGGCAAAGCATCTGAAAATTCATAGGCGTGCACACACACACACACACATTACTACTAGTACTACTTTGCTGTCACTCGGAATCGAGTATGAAGATCATCCAATATGATACAATGATATGAGTTATTAGGGATGTCACCTTCATTGGCGAGTTTTGAGGTGACTAAAGAGGCCGATACGGGACCGGCGGAGTCGTTCACATGACTTGAACATTAAAACGCTCCACCACCCCCATTGACTTACCAATGAAACTCTTCAAGGAGTTCTCCCCGGAGCTTGCTAAACCCCTATGCTCCATCATCAATGCTTCTCTCAGTCAAGCCAGATGCCCAGCTGACTGGAAGACCTCTTATGTATCACCAGTGCCCAAGTCAACCAGCCCACAATCCTTAAATCAGCTACGACCTATTGCAATCACCCCAATGCCCGGCCTAATCTGTGAAAGTTTTGTGTTCGACTTGGCTTATGCTGATATTGCAGGAGTCGTAGACCCTCAGCAATTTGGCAATATGAAAACTTCCTCCACTACTCACTGTCTTGTCAGCTTTCTCGATTACATATACCGCCATCTCGAGAAACGATAAACGTCTGTAGCTGTCGCCTTCAATGATTTCACTAAAGCATTCGACCTAGTCGACCACAAGATAATCACCAACAAAGCTATTGACCTCGGGCTTCGGAGAAGTCTTATACCATGGCTTACAGACTTCCTCAGTGACCGACGCCAAGCTGTACGCTTCCGAGGGGCTGTCTCCACCTTTCAGTCACTCACCTGTGGCGTCCCCCAAGGCACCAAGCTGGGACCACTCTGCTTCCTTATGCTTATTAATGATGCCCTAAGAGAAACCCCTGCTCGCTGGAAATATGTCGACGACTCCACAATTGGAATCAGCGTCAACAATTCTGCTCCCGACTATACCGCCCTTCAGGATTTATTGAACAGTCTCCAAAACTGGGCCACCAACAACTACGTCACCATCAACCATACCAAGACCATGGTTATGCGCATCAACCTCTCCTCCGACATTGTCCCACCCCCTTCCATTACTTTAGGTCCGAATACACTCCAGGTTGTAGATTCCACGAAGCTCCTCGGCGTCACCATAGACAACAAACTAAATTGGAAACCACACGTCAGTGAAGTTGTCAAATCCTCCAGTTTCCGCCTCCACCTCCTCTGCCGACTCAAGTCCCTCGGAGTTCCTGCACCCGAGCTCCTCAGTGTTTACTGAACATTCATACTTCCCCAAGCTCACCTATGCCTCCCCTACCTGGTCTTCCTCCCTAAATGCCACACAATGTAAACACCTAGAAAAAGTGCAAAAGAGGGCATGCAAGATTATTCTCTCCCCTTCCTACTCCACATATCAAGAAGCGCTCAACACACTGACTCTTTCGACTCTCACTGACCATCACCACGACCTTATCTGCAAATTTGGTAAGAAGCTTCTGCACCATCCTCGACACCGGCTCCTACTACCACCTGAGATCCCTAGCCCGAGAATTGCTGTTCGACACCACAACCCGATCCAGCCCATACGTGCACGAACTGATCGCTATTAGAACAGCCCAGTCCCAACCATTGTAAAAATTATCAATAACTTGTCATAAACCAGTGTATTCACTCCCAGTAAATACTACTTCTTGCACTGTCACTATGCTGAAATGCCCTGTAGTTTGAGCTTTTCCCCATCTAGTTATTATATATCTTATTTACATCACTTATGTTATTTGTATATTATTTGTAATTCGAAACCCTTTCCCCAATTATGTAACTGTATATTTTCAGCCTTCTGGCTGTCAAGCTCTTTCAATAAACCGTTAATTATTATTATTATTATTATTATTATTATTATTATTATTATTATTATTATTATTATTATTATTATTATTATTATTATTAGAGGGCTACATCGAGTGCGGGAGGGATGGTGGCAGCGTCTTTCCGGCGTTGGTACGTGTCTGCCTCGCTGTGCAGTCGGGCAAACTAGAAAGTATTGACACCTTCTCGTGTGGTGCTCCTCCAAGCGTTACGGTGGAGTAATCGACTCCCAGGTGAGGGGGTCGCTTTGATATCTTTTCAGGTTTGTCTTAAGACTATCCTTATACCTTTTAAGTTGCCCGCCAGCGTTATGTTTGCTATTCGTTAGGTGACTGTAAAGTAGCTGCTTTTGCAGTCTACTGTCGTCCAAGCTGGTATAATGGCCAGTCCAGCATAGTTGATCATGGATAATGGTAGCCTAGATGCTCCTACAGTTGGTGTCAGCAAGAATGCTGGCATTTGTTCTCTTGTCTTCGCAGAGAACACGGAGGATGGAACGTAGACTACGTTGGGGAAAGTTTTCAAGTGCCTTGTGGTGCCTCCTATATGTGACCCATGTATCACTACCATATAGCACGGAGGGTAGGACCACTGCTCGATATACGTGGAACTTTGTAGATAATTTCACCTCCCTACAGCTGAATACACGCTTTCGGAGATTGCCAAAGGCTTGAGATGCACTTCTGATCCGCTACTGAATCTCTTCATCGTTGCGGCGGTGGTGAACAGGTGGGAGCCGAGATACCGAAAGTGGGTAACATTAGAGAGGATAGTACCGTTAAGCTTACGTACAATCACTTCAAGGCCGAAGTGTGCATACGCATCTGCGTGCGTAGCTGTTCAGGATCTTCTGTAGGTCGTGTTCAGTGTGAGCAACAAGGGTGAGGTCATCTGCATACTAAAGTTCAGTAATGGAAGCTGCCGACACCTTTGTTCTTGCCTGGAGTCGTCTTATGTTGAAAAGACCCTTCATCCGGTACTCGATGTCCACCCCGACAGCTAAATTGGCACTGGTACGAGTAAGGAAGGCAGCCAAGAGAGTTGGTGCCAGTACACACCCTTGTTTAACCCCTGTTTGGATGGGGAAGAACTCAGACTAGTTGCCATTGTGCAGGACATTGCCGTTCATGCCATCGTGGAGTTCCCTCACAATGGCGATGAATTTTGGTAGGCAGCCAAAACGGCTGAGGGTCCACTAGAGGGCTTCCCTGTTGACTGAGTCGAAGGCCTTTGTGAGGTCACGACGCTGTTCTCTGCACTTTGTATTTGGGGGGCAGCAAAGATCATATCAGTGGTGCTACGTGATGGTCTAAAATAACTGTTCTGAACCTGGGGGGGGGGAGGGGGGCACGACCCCTTAAGGGGGCCTCAGTAATTTCCAGGGGGGTTGCGAACCCAGAGAAAAAATAAGGAATGGCCTTAACAGGTGTGTGTATGTCCTTATTTGGATTTTCGTGGGGGGGGGGGGGTTGCTCCCCACAGATACTGCAAAATGTCGTAAATATTAATTACGTCAATCAAAATGTAAAATTCCACTAGAAGTAACTGAATTATGGTAGTAATAATGTCGGGAAGTGTACAATAATTTGATGAATAAACGATAATTTTGAGGCTCCAGTACAATAATTCAAATCTAAAAATTTGTCAACACTGACTGCAACGGTTTCAAGCGCCAGTCGCCCGCGACGTCCGCCCGTGACAACTTTCTACCTCTCACACTCAAGCATATCTTTCTTCAATTAAGGTATGTTGTAGCGTAGACTTTATATGGACGAAACAATAATGATAATTACTTATATCAATTGAAAAGAATGCTAATTATTTCGTCTTTAAACCGGGAATTAAATTTGCCAACTCAAAAATGGATTGTAAATACGCTTTGCTTACTTCGAGTGATGTTTATGGCCATGTGGTGGTGTTTATGATCATGTGATGGTGTTTACGATCATCGTTTTAGAATTTTTAGATTTAGAATTTTATATGAAAGAAGGAAGGAAGCGAGGAGATGAGGATCAACTGCTGTAGGGGGCGCGATCCTAAAAAGGATAAGAACCACTGAACTAAAGCCACATTTAAATTCTGGGAGGAATTTTTCCGCCTCAGGAAGAAGTCTGTTTAGGAGGACTAGGCGATAATCTTGCCAGCTACGAACAGCAGTGAGATCCCACGGTAGTTGCTAC